TAAAGGAAATTAAATTGTTCTGACAGATGGCTAAAATCAGTGATTATTATTTTTTTTTTAATTTTGGAAAAAAAAAATCCTTTCAATCAATTTAAATTCGTTTTGAAATAGAGCAAAGTATTTTCTCATTGGAAATATTAAATTTCAACTGTTAGCTTGAAATTAAAACTAAAAGCTTCAAGAAAGATTATTTTTTTTTCGTTTTTAAAAATTCATTTTAAACCTTAATTATCACATTTCTTTAGAGGTACTTAATTATAAACTATTATTTTGGAAAGATCTGAAATCAAGAAAATATTAATTTTTAGAAAAATGATCACAATATCTGGAATAAAACAAGGTCAGTTTAAACTAATGCCAGGAGCATATGCTAATTACTTTTGTGATTTGTGATGTCTGTTGATTTGATCACATAATGAGAGATGTATTGAGATTTCATTCATACTTATTATGTCACTGATTGTGAAAGACAGGTCCCATTGATAATGATCCTATTTTAGTTAAGTCACATTGAGGTATATGTTAAAATTTTATTGTGGTTTTGTTTTGTTTTCTCCTTCCTCCCACCTCTAGATATTATTAATTTTAATATTTTAACTTAAATATCAAACATACTGTCCAATATTTATCTCAATTTCTTGTGTGAACATTTTAAACTGACACCTTCTTTTATGTCATCTATCTGCACTATAATTTTTTAACTATAATTTTGGGAAGTGAAAATTTCAGTGGAATATATAAAAAAAAATTCCAAGTTTTCATCTGAACTCAAGAAAATATGAGCTTTATGCAATATACGGAAAAAAAAGAATATGCTAGTTTAAATTGAAGCAATTAGGATATGGGCTTTGATAGCTCATTAAAATAGCAACTTTGACAGAAAAATTTTCTAAACAAGGAACTATACACTCACTTAAATGCTATATTTATAACAAGCAAAAATAACTAAAAAATTGTGGTGGTTTTAATTTCTCTCATAATTGTTATTATAACAATACATGAAAAACTATTGACTGAATCAAATTCTTAATGAATTTTGTTGTTTTTTTGTTTTGTTTTTTTTACAATGATGCTCAACTTGTACAAGGCCCAAGAGCTACTCGAGGTAGAGGGTTACAGAGAGTTACAGTTTATGGGAATATTTGGGAAAAATAACGGTTGACCCTAGACTTGTACAGGCCAAGACTGCAGTGATTAGGAAAGCATCCCATTGAGAGTCAGTAGTTGTAAAAGAATACATATTGAATATCATGATTAAAACTTCTCTACATTCTCTCAAGCCTGATATATTAGATATTGTTCAAAGATCTAGTAATTTACTTGCCTCACATTTTGGGTCTTTCATTCAACTTGTTCATGTGAATAGGGTGTCTGGTCATTTTATAAAGGCTAGCAGGCTGGTCTCACATTATTACAAACTAGCTTAAAAGCCACACTCGTTTAAGCTAACTCCTGCAGAGGGTTAAAACTCCTGTCCAAAACTAAAAGGACCTCTGGTCCAGCTTAGAAAACAGTAATGATAATTTTGTAGAAATAACTTTGAATTCCTCAATTCACTCCATGGAACTTCAAAACTTCACTAAGTTCAATCCTGGCCAAAAGACCGATTTTGGCCGAAAATTGAGTTCTTCAAATTACAAACTCTGCAGGACTTCAAACCTCACATCATGAAACCTCTCCCTTTAACTCTGATTCCTTGGCATTTTGAAGAAATAAAATTGATTTCTTCAATTCACAAAGTTTTGGAGATATTTTAAACTGAATTTCAAACAAAAATTTTTAAAACCACAAAGTTTTTGTGTTACTTTAAACTCAATATAAGTTAAAAACTTTTAAAATCCCCAATTTTTTTCAGTTATTTTAAAATTTGAATTTTTAACTGTTCCCTTCTCATCCAAGCACATATCCCAATGCTGGACATTCAAGAACCAGATGAAGGGAAGATTTTCAATCCTGCAACCATCTTGATTCCCAAAAGATACAATATGTCTATGTAGAGCAAGTGTGGCCTGATTTAGAGGAATTACAGACGGACAGACAAAATTTGCCATTTATTTATTTAGATGAGTAGTGAGTTTGGTTCTCACTCGGTGTCCCCATGCTTGTAGTCCTGTGCCACAGACTAAACTTCATCGATAACTTGTCTATGTAAATAAAATATTTCAAAAGCATTTAGTAATAATCATTAAATTATCCAATGATTTTATTGTTCAATTATTATTTCTTTGTTTAATCTTCCTCTTAACTAATGTTGACAATATGAAATATAAACCTACTGACAGTCAAGCAGACATTTTGTATGCCTCCATTTTAACTTGCCAGACTCTAGATTTTTAACTTTTTATTTTGTTGTAAACAGTTCAGTAAATGACAAGCTTTTTAATTTCTGTTTCAACTTAAGATGACTGAATGACTTTGGTCCAAATTAGGTTTACAGTTTTATTTCTTGAATTCGCTCTCAGATGATGATCTTTTTGTCTGTTTCACTAATTGAATCTGTTGTTGTCAGTTAAATCTGATCTATTGCTGTGTTTATGATCTTAAAATTTGCACAAATACAGGAGCTATTTTTATGGTTATTTCTTTATTCAATTAGCATCACTCTAAAAGTTTTAAAATCTGTGTTCACCAATATAGAGAGAATGAGTTTAGAAATACTATGGTTGCCAATGAAAAGGTAGAGAAAAAGAATAGTTTGATAAAAAAAGCAAGATGACTATGGTTCACATAGCAGTAATGAATAAATCTAAGACTTTAAGTCCTTGTGATACTGACTAACAGCAACCTTACCATTAACATGAAAAAAGGTAGAAATGACAAAACAACAAATGGAGATGTGGTTGAAATAAGTGAAAAAGTTTTTTTTAATTTCCCATGATCTAGAAGGTTCGATCATTTGCTCATTCTGGGGTATCGTATATCAGTCATGGGAGGCTGAGAATTAGTTCAAGGTATAACACAAGGTTATAGCCAAGATAGACACGTGGAGAAAAATCAACACATATGTGACTGAGTGAGATGGACTCATGGGAAAAATATTTCATGAATTATTTCATTGTAGTAGTCGAGAGTTAGTCTATTGGTGTTGATGGAAGCACCTTGGTGTCACTGCTGATGGCCGTAAGCTTGCCTGCCATGGGAGTCTATTGCTAATGCTAGCAATCAGATCTGCCTTCATGGGTGAAATCAGCACTGGTGAGCAAGAAATAGCTACCACAAAAACTGTGTTGGCTTTTTCTGATTGGTCAGAAAAAAAGTTTTAGGACTCTGGTATTTTGGGACAGTATTCCAGAAGTGGATACATGGAACTGGATAGAATTATGGTCTGTTTTTTTTGTTTTTTTTTAATTGAACACTTCCGTTTAAATTAAAGAATTGTAGTTCCAACAGGGTTACTACAACTCGAATACTGTGAGTTCATTCATTTATGAAAGTTGTGAATTGATGACTATCAGATAAATGGAATTTTCCTCAACAGCTTCTTGGTGGATACTTTTAAAAAGAGATATATTTTAAGCTCATTCAGAACATCTTTCTGTAATTTTCCAAACTTATTGCAAAGCATATTGCATTTTATCTACACAAATAAACCACATCAGTGAAATAGGAAACATAAAATGGTCGGCATTATTATTAAATGTAACTTTCATTTTGCTAACAGCTGAAAATAACAGTCTAAAAATTACAGTAAAATGCTACAAAAAAGATCAATTACAGAAACACTTAAAAATTAATAAGTGGTGTATTTTTAAAATTTTGAAGTCTGTTATAATTATGTAAAAAAAAAAAAAAAAATACAATATAGCAGCATTACAAAAATGAATGAATTATAACTTGATGTCTATCCTTTAGCCTTATTAGTAAAGCAGTCAATTAAAGACTGGCTTACAAATTTAAGAGATTCACGCTCATATCTCACTAGAGGATTATTAATTTTTTTCCAATTTGTGCTAATAATATTTTGAAATAAAAAGCAACAGAAATTAAATGAATAATTACAACGTTTAATCAAAGTAATTAGGAATAACTTTAAGACTGTTGCATTTTCTTGCTATTAAGTATAAATGATTAACATTAATAAAAATGAAAATTAATACTAATAACAGATTAAAATGGACATATTAAAATAACAGGAAAGAATGAAAATGTTTACATAAGTAGTAATATATCAAAAAGCAAATAAATTAATAAAAAAAGGAAAAAAAAATAAAAAAATGGAATAATTGGTTTGCCATTACTCTAAATAATACTAAAACTTAATAATAGTTAATAACATTTGACTTAAAAAATTAGAAAAATATAAGTTAAAATAGTGGTTGGCAGCAGTTGTTTTCATTTAAGGTATTTTTTTTTTTAATTTATTTGCTTTTTGGTATTACCATTTTACAGTAATGTAAGCATTTTTGTCATTCTTTCCTGTTGTTTTAGGCTTACTGCCTTATGTTCTCATACAATCACTGAAGTTAAGCAACATTGAACCTAAATGGGTGACCACTTTGGAATAACAGGCACTGTAAGCTTGGATGTGCGGTGATGTAATGTATAATGGATCAGAATTGGAAATTGAAGAGCCAGGTTCCAATTCCGGCTGAGTCATTATATTCACTTAGACGCAAATATCCTTGGAAAAGGAATGAATCACCCTCTTGTCCCCTAGTTATGAGTTAATTAGTAAGACATATTAGTAAATCATTATCATCTCCCCAAAATTCTTACAATCTAAAAATAATTTTTGGCTTTAAATGACCTGAAAAAGATTGATGAGCTGTAAAGAACAATCAATCAATCAATCCTGTTATTCTAATATGTCCGTTTTAATTGCAATTATTAAATTTTTTTTTTGTGTTTTTTTTTTAATATTTAAAATGAATAAAAGCATTGTAATTAACACTTCATCTAAGAAATTCAAATAGTATTATAACTAGTATTTAGCATCAGTTGTTTTTTTTTCAAAGTATAGCATTATGTCTGATTCCAGATTTATTTCATTGTATTTATAGCCCGGGCTGCTCTTTTGACAGGACGCTTACCAATCAGAAATGGTTTCTATACTACAAATGCCCATGCTCGAAATGGTAAGTATTAGTTAATTCTTAGAATTAACCTTTTTTACATGTAATTTTTTAATTCTGGATGCCCAAATTATTTGATTTTATGTTCATTTTTTAAATGGAATAATTTTTTTTTTATGTCTCTGAGGAGTTGTTTCTGTTTCTGTGCATGGGAATACTATCTCTCTCTCTCTCTCTCATGGTTGGTCAACCTAAATAGATAGGGTTCATTTATCTTACAACTGTCTGTTTTAATTAACCTTACACTGATCAGATGCCAAAATGAAAAGACAGTTCCTAGCATTGCAGCAACAGATAGTGTTCCAGTACATTATCTTAGAACATGTCTAAGATTTGATGTATTTCAAGCCGATTGAAATCTTTTTTCTCCTTATCTTAAATCTATAAATTCAACCATATTGACAAGTCTGTCAACACAAAATAAGTATCTTTTTCTAAAAAATCTTTCAAAGATAAAATATGCTTTAAGAGGGCAGAAATGACAGAAATGACTTCAAAAAGACAATGTGAATGCCATTTTTCCATATAGATTTTTGTAACTAGCCAGTAATCTTAAAAATTTAAGAAAATATTTTAAACAATAATATTTTATTGAATTTTAGGTACTTTGGCTTTATAACTTTATTTATGAATAAACTTGTTGAGAAATGTTAGAAAATTACCAATATTTTATGATTGTGTTGTGTATGGACATCTGTATTTTCAAAAAGTGACATATTTCTACACACACAAATTCAAAATCCTTTTTAAAATACTGAGGGCCATTCAATTGTAGTGAGCTTTTCCATTTATGATCAGTAAATACAATTTTAATTTAATAACCATATAACTTGAGTGTCTTTAGCATACCTTTTTAAAAGAGAAGTGGAGTGAGAAAGGGAGCAAGAGAAAAAAATGTTTTGAAATTTGTTCTTCAGCTTGACTGTATATTTGACTCAAAAAGCATGTATTTCTTTTTTAATAAATTGACCACCCACCCCCACCATGGCGGGAAAATAGATTTATTTTAACCATAAAAAATCTAAGAGAATTTTTCCCCACCCCTTCTTTAAGTGAATTGAAATTCACCGGAAGCCTTAATGATTCGCCATATTAGATTGTGCTCTGAATGCCTCTTCATATGTAAGCTCCGTGTTTTCTTAACTTTTGAAATCACTAATTTAAAATATTTGATCCAGGGGAGGGGAGGCATTTACTTCTTTGATTTTTATTATTTTATTATTATCCCTTACTGTTCAAGTCTACTTATTGCAATTGTACTTTTTAATTTTTGATTCATTTAAAAATATTTGTCCATGGATAACTGCATTTATTATATTTGCAATCTTTCTGGTCATTTTGATAACTGACAAATCTACTAAAGAGTGTCATTAGTGTCCCTACCTTCTCTGTTGTGACAAGAGTCAATTTTCTACTCAATATTTAGTTGATAGACATCATCACGACTTAAAACTGAATAGTTAATAATGCACTTAGAGATTCCTAAGCTCCATAATAAAACACATATATTTGAAGTTAATTCCACATATGGTACACCACCGCCATATTATTGTTCTCAATTTTATCATATTTTATATTTCCTTCTATCTTTTATCTTTATTTTCTTATATGCAACATCTGCACCTAAATTTTGTAATTTTATTTACTGTTTATTTTTTTTATTTTTTTCCTTAATCGTAGTGGATAGATTTGCCTATCATCCAGTTCACACTCCTCCCCCATCTTTTGAATAGGTGCAGAGGTTTATTCCTTGTTTCCTGTTTAAGATTGGGTTTCTAGTTCCTTCTAAAGTCTTTATTCTCTTTCATTCCCAGTAGCCTCTTGCATCATAGTGGCATTATCGCCTTTACTTGGGGTGAATTGATTTAAAAAAATATATATCAGAGTGGGTGAGAGAATGCCACTAATGAAAAACTTCTTAGTGTTGTATTTCATTTCAAGGAGGAGCTTTTTCACAGTAGTCTGAAGAAGTGCCCCCCCAAATACACACATATATATTTATTAGTTCAAGTGTTATTTTTAGTGGATACCCATTTGAAATAGACTTCCAATTTTCTATATTCAACTGTGTATTGTATCTATTGGTCTGCATACTCAAGAAAACTTGCTCTCACAGAGTTCAAAACTGCACACTCCTATGTAGGAGAAACCACCATTTGATCCAGTGTGCTTTAGACTGCTTGGCTACAAGAGAGCGTCACAGCCCAGCAAGGTTCTTTTTCCCCTTTTAAGGAATACACATTTCTTTGTTCAGTTATTCTTGAAAGCCCATATCTGCTGAGTTTCATATCTAAAATGTAGAAAAAGCAATTTCTAAAGCATTAATGGATTTTTTTTAATCCAACATTTTTACTACCTAAAACATGACAGATCAAAGAGTGGTTGTCTCCATCAGAGAACACATTATCTTTATTAAGTTTTCTCAGATGTATAGACCAATAGATGTAATCAGTCAGTTAAATACCATACATGATACACACTTGGACAGTCATGTCTCTTTTGATTCATGACTAAGTAGAAGATTTTCCAGCAGTAGGCTATAGGATCTAGTCTGTCCTACTATTCAATCCATAGCTGATGGTAAAAGAGATAAATTCATGCCTTTCCCAAGGGTACTTACATTTCATTCCAAGCCAATATCCATTACACCACAACATACATCCTGATAAGCATAATACATCTTTAAAAATAACTTTTAAAAATAAAAATGTTGACTTAAAATTAAATCCATTAATTTATATATATATATGTGTGTGCATGTATATATATATAATTTTATGTTATGCTATATTTATAGGTTAAAGCACTCAATATCAGTGATACACCATATGTAAATATAAAAGTGGGCATTGAAGCCAACACCCAAAGGCAACAGTTTGTTTCATGCTAAATGCAATTATCACGCACATGACCTGATGATTGCATTTAGTATGAAACAGATTGTCATCTCTGGGTGTTGACATCACTGCTCACTTTTATATATATATATATATATATATATATATGTGTTTGTGTATACATACTAGCAGTATAACCTGTCTTCAACCAGGTGATTCATTACTGGGAATTTTTGCCGTTCAATTGGAGCAGTTTAAGTTTAAAGTCAGCTCACCTGAAAATCAATATTAGTAACAATAATTGGGTGCAACTGAGGCACATCCCCAAATGGAGGGGATTAACAATTTGAATGGGGGTGGCCCTGAAAAGGGCCATTTTTCTGTTCACAATCTTGCAGGGAAGGAACCTCTTCCATGGACCGTCATAATAATAGTATACAATAATTTTTATTTATAATATAATTTTTTTTATAATTCTAATAATCTTTTGCATTAGATTTCAACTCTCTAAATTGATTGTATGTTGTTTTTTACAGACATTAAATTTTGCCTTTGATTTTTGTGCAAAATGTAAAAAATCAGTTTTTTCAATTTTCACCTTCAAGGTTGAAATTTTTCCAGCCACTTTGAACTCAAAACCAGCACTGAAGAATTATCAAACAAAAAAAAAAGTTTCATCAAAATTGGATGAAAACTGTGGAAACATATAAACAACATCCAATCACACACACACATACATACATACATATACACACACACACATTTTGAGAATTACAGATATACACTCTTTCATAATCATAAGCTTTCTTGTTTCATGATTAAAGAATTAAAGACAGCAAGAAAGGTACTGTGATTATATTTATTCATTTTTATTTCCCCCACTGCAATATTTTCCAATATCATCATTAGGGTTTTGATGGCTAAGACAAATAATTGTGTTTGTCTGAAATAAATTTATTTCTGACAGTACAGTACCTTTCTTGCTGTCTTTAATCATGAAACAAGAAAGTGATTACAAAAGGATTGTATTGAAAATAAGTAAACAAAACCTGTTTAAATTGTTTAATCAGACATGTTTAAATGAAAATATACTGCCAAAATATATGGAATGAAATATATATATATATATATATAGATAGATATATGTATAGGGAGAGAGATAGGATTAATACAAATAAAATTTGTTACTTAGCTGATTGATCTTATATTCAACACCTCAACTCCAGAGTTTCAGAGATGAACCTTTTTGCAATCATTTGGTCCATTCATCAGGAGGTTTCAGCAGTTATACACACCCACCAAAAGGTTTTAGTCTTGACTTTTCTTTAATGTATATGGAATTACACAAATGTCTATTATGTTTGATCATGAGCTGTTCTCAACTTCGTTGCTTTAATTTCCGGAGAAAATAAACACAAAAATATTGTCCAACATTTAGACGTATTTTTATTATGCTGTTCCTTGATCTAAGCTTTCAGTTCACATGAGCCATCTTCAGAGTAGTTATATGGACATTTAAACAGATATTCACCATCAAAGATGATATTCTGTTATGTTGACATAGAAGATTGCTATGCGACAATAACAGTCATGGAATAGCAGATGCTGGTCATAAATTCATGTCATTGTACCATGTGAGAAAACAAAATCATTTAGTCCATTCATCAGGGGGTTTCTTATTTTTCATTATCTTTATACTATGTTTGATGTAATTAATTTATGCACTAGTTATTGATGTTAGGCTGATTCTTTCTCCTTCTTTTTGTGCATACATATATATATGAAGAGAATGCTGTGATTATTTCTCCTTTTACATCCTGGATATGATGATAAACTACATCTGGCAGCAAGGCCTCTGATCGGGAGATTGGAGGTTTTGAGGAGTTATTGCTCTTGTTTCAAGGTCCACTCTGACCTGGGAGTATTGGCATTTATTAGGGTCCCAGCAAATTGTCACCCCCATCCAAACCAAGATCAAAAAATAACAAATGTATAAAAATACATTTTTACAGTAAAAATACCAGCAATATATTTTGGTAGTAAAAAATTATCCTCAATACATTTTAATAAAAAAACTTATATTACCAGCAATACATTTTTGTAAAGAAAAAAAAAATAGTATCAACAATACATTTTTGTAAAAGAAATTTATTAATGTTCCCAAGAAAATTTAATTTTGGCATTAAATGACCCATAAGGATTTGATATGCTGCTAAAGAAAGAAAGAAACAATTTCTCCTTTTCATCTTTTTCTTGTTTCCTTATACTCTGTTCCTTTTCCTTTTCCTTTTCTTTTTTCTTTTTCAGCTCTGAGTTTGTGTATGTGGTATAAACAAATAAATACAACCTTATAATTATTTACTAAACCTACTATTGTCAAAGTTTGACAGAAGGCTATAGTACTGGAGCATTTGGTGAGAATCAAAATTGCTGCCTAAGTTGTCTCATTAATATGAAATGTAACTTTATAAGAATAATAATCAGAATCCAGTTAAATCAGTTTAAAATGTTAAATATATGAATTTCCTTATTTCTCAAAGCCTGACTTAAATAGTTATTTTGTTTCTTTACTGATCTATATTTTTTTTTATATTTTAGGTTATACACCCCAAGTAATAATGGGAGGAATTTCTGACTATGAAATATTGCTACCGGAATTGCTTAAGAAGAAAGGCTACCAAAACAAAATAATTGGCAAATGGTATATTTGTTATTTCTTTTATGATTTAAACTTTCTTTTTATGATGTGTTAGAAATGAAGTCTTGATAGCATAATAATCATTCTGACATTGGTTAAATGAAATTGCAAATCGGTTTTGGAATGGAAAGCGCCTGTTTGAATTTTGAATGACAATGGAAACAAAAAGGATGCTCACTTATACTTAGAATCAGAAAGAGACTGTTGAAATTTCTAGGGCACATAATAAGGAAAGAGGACCTGGAAAAATTGACATTCACAAGACATTGAAGGCACAAAAGATAGGTTATTTGTTGTTTTCCTCTAACAAGCTTATATTAATAGTTTGTAGAACAAGAAAGTAGGAGAGATAGCAAAAAGACAAACCTTACTAAGAGCTACAAAGTACAGGAAGTTCTGGAGAGCCAGGATCAGCGACATCCTGAAGGAACATAGCAGAAGAATTATCATTAATCTATGAGAGGTTTTTCAACTAGATCCACTTCCCAAAATCTGACCAAATATTTCTTGTCTTCTTTTGAATGGTTTTTTGGTGAGGCTGAGAATTTTTCTGCCCTCCATCATACATTAATCTTTCTTTTTTTTTTTTTTTTTTTTAATTTGACCCCAAGCAAGGCAGTAAAGCCACTACAACACAAAAGCTTAATGGGTGTGAAAGAAAAAACAGAAACATTAAGGAGCCAGAACAATAAAAGAACAGGAATCAAGAAGACAGTAGATAACAATTGACATTGCATTTACATTTTTGAAGATGAAAATTGAAAAGCAAGAAGCTGGAAGAGAGTTCCACAAGTGAGAAGTGCAAGAAAAGAAATTGTTAGCATAGAACTTACAGTTACATCTAGCCATTTCAAATGTAAAAAGGTGAGACCTTGCCACCAATCTAGTACTGCGTTTAAATTCATAAGGTCTAAGTACCATAGATGACAGTTCAGCAGAACAATTACCATGAAAGTATTTATAGAAAAGGCACAGGGAAACTACATTACAGCAGTGGGAAAGTGACTCAAGGTGTAATGCCAGGTCAGGACCAATAACATTGCAGGTTCTTGTTTAGATTTTATCAAAAATCTCTAAATATATAGCAGAAGCCCCAGATCATATGTGGCAGCAATATTCAAAGCATGAACAAATGGTAGACTTATAAATATGTAAGATACATTCTGGAGAGAAAAATTGTCTTGTGCAACACAGTGAACCAACTTTCCTAGCAGCTGACATAGCAACTTATTCAAACTTGTCATCATTTTGTATGTTGTTGTCATAACATTTTGGCCTTTGTACTCTGAGGAGGTTCCCTTCAGGTGTCCATCATATTCAATAACATTTCTGGAAATTTCGAACCAAGCTAGTTAAACCATGATTGATGTGGAGAGATTGTTCTCATTCCATTATCCATGTCAAGAAATTTCTTTTAATGTTTTCTTCTTCTAAGCTAATTTGTCTTTGTGCAGCTTTGTGTTGTCATCGAGGAGAACATTTTTCATATTGATGAGCACAGGGTGCTTTTTGGTTAAACTTTTAAGGACACATTGCAGCTGCTGGATATATAAATGTGCATTTAGTGCTTCATTTCATTTTAAGAACTCGAAATGAAAATCCCACCACACTTCCATTGAGCTTAACTTTTGGAATGGGTTGTTTATAGGGGGACTGATATTAGGTAACAGTTCAGAACTCTTTTCTTTGTTTCTAATGAAATTTTCTTGTTTCTTAATACTTTGCTTAGTTTTTGGAAGGCACTTGGCTATCCCAATGCACCGTCAGATTTCAGCATCAATAGATTAGCATGTAAGTGAGATTTATTAAACTTTGTTTTTAACCCCTTCTATAACAGCATTCTATAGTTTCTTCCTCATTAGCATAACACTGACATTAGCTAATATTTGTTTTTATTATGTCAAATATATATTGTAAGCAAAATATTTGTTGTTGCTTTTTAATACTCATCTCTTCCCATGATGCTACAGGCATTTAGGTCACAGGTCACACTATCATCCTCTTAAACATGGCTTCCATGAATGGTTTGGGTCTCCCAATTGCCACTTTGGTCCTTATGACAACAAGCGAACACCAAATATTCCTGTTTACAAAGACTGGCTGATGGCTGGAAGGTAAGTAACTGTTTCTCACTGTGTATGTGTTTGTTTTGTTTTCCCCTTTACACAGCCTCTTTGCTGCTACCCCCTCTCCCCACCGCCCACTGAAACCAGATGATGTTACCTTCAACTGTCCATGAATGATACAATAAATTTTATCTTAATGCTTTATCTATATCTCTTCTTCATTGCCATTTCTCTTGTAAATAGCCTGGACATAATTTGCCTGTTGGGTCAACATATCACTCGTCATGTAAGATTTAGAATGGAATATTCTTCACTTCTTCAAATGCATTGTATCTTTAATGTCAACTTTTTACCTTAAAGCAATATCTTTCTGCAAGATATTCATTATATACTTCAATAAAATATATCCATTTTACTTCTGACATATATCTGTTTGCTTATCCAACTTTTTCTCTGCTCTCTCTTTCCTCTTCTTCTCTGCTCTATTTACCCTTCCTCTCCGCTCTCTATTGCCTTCCTCTCTGCTCTCTATTGCTTTCCTCTCCGCTCTCTTTCCTCTTCCTCTCTGCTCTCTTTACCCTTCCTCTCTGCTCTCTTTACCCTTCCTCTCTGCTCTCTTTACCCTTCCTCTCTGCTCTCTTTACCCTTCCTCTCTGCTCTCTTTACCCTTCCTCTCTGCTCTCTTTACCCTTCCTCTCTGCTCTCTTTACCCTTCCTCTCTGCTCTCTTTCCTCTTCCTCTCTGCTCTCTTTCTTCTTCCTCTCTGCTCTCTTTACCCTTCCTCTTAGCTACCTTTTTTCCTTTATCTTCCTATCCACTCTATTTTTTTCCTCTTGTCTCCCTTTACTCTCTCTTTTCCTTTACTCTTTCTTCCAGGGCCAGACTTTCACCAGCTGAGGCCCTAGGCTATATGAAATTCAAGATCCTTCTCTAAAAACATTTTGGTAAAAAAAATTTTAAATAATTATACATGATTATTATTTATTAATGATTATATATCATTTTTGACGGTTTAGTGTTAAGGAATAAAAACTAATAAAATAAAAAATATATGATTTAAAAATGAACCAACAGTGTGAAGACCTAAGCTATAACTTATTGAAATCATAGGTAAATCCAGCACTGCTCTCTTCTCTATTCATTTCATTTGCTTGCTTTTCTCTATTTTTTCCATTCCTCTCTCTCTCTCTCTCTTCTCTATTCTTTTCCTTTACTCTCTCTTCTCTATTCTTTTCCTTTACTCTCTCTTCTCTATTCTTTTCCTTTACTCTCTCTCTCTTCTCTTTTCCTTTACTCTCTCTCTCTTCTCTTTTCCTTTACTCTCTCTCTCTTCTCTTTTCCTTTACTCTCTCTCTCTCTTCTCTTTTCCTTTACTCTCTCTCTCTCTTCTCTATTCTTTTCCTTTACTCTCTCTCTCTTCTCTTTTCTTTTCCTTTTCTCTCTCTTCTCTTTTCCTTTACTCTCTCTCTCTTCTCTATTCTTTTTTTTTCTCTCTTCTCTATTCTTTTCCTTTCTCTCTCTCTTCTCTATTCTTTTCCTTTCTCTCTCTCTCTTCTCTATTCTTTTCCTTTTCTCTCTCTTTCTATTCTTTTCCTTTCTCTCTCTTCTCTATTCTTTTCTTTCTCTCTCTCTTCTCTATTCTTTCCTTCTCTCTCTTCTCTATTCTCCCTTTCTCTCTCTCTTCTCTATTCTTTTCCTTCCTCTCTCTCTTCTCTTTCCTTCTCTCTCTCTTCTCTATTCTTTTCCTTCTCCCTCTCTTTCTCTCTATTCTTTTCTTTTCCTCTCTCTTCTTTTCTCTCTCTCTCTCTCTTCTCTATTCTTTTCCTTCTCTCTCTCTCTTCTCTATTCTTTTCCTTTCTCTCTCTCTCTTCTCTATTCTTTTCCCTCTCTCTCTCTACTTTTCTTTTCTTTTCTTTCCTCCTTCTCTCTCTTCTCTTTCCTTTACTCTCTCTTCTCTTTTCCTTTCTCTCTCTTCTCTTTTCCTTTCTCTCTCTTCTCTTTTCCTTTTCTCTCTCTCTCTCTTCTCTTTTCTTTTTCCTTCTCTCTCTCTCTTCTCTATTCTTTTCCTTTCTTCTCTCTCTCTCTTCTCTATTCTTTTCCTTTCTCTCTCTCTCTTCTCTATTCTTTTCCTTCCTCTCTCTCTCTTCTCTATTCTTTTCCTTTACTCTCTCTCTCTTCTCTCTTTTTTCCTTTTCTCTCTCTTCTCTATTCTTTTCCTTTCTCTCTCTCTATTCTTTTCCTTTTGGTTCTCTCTCTTCTCTTTTCCTTTACTCTCTCTCTCTCTTCTCTATTCTTTTCCTTTACTCTCTCTCTCTATTCTTTTCTTTTTTTTACTTTTTTCTCTCTTCTCTTTTCCTTCTCTCTCTCTCTTCTCTATTCTTTCCTTTACTCTCTCTCTTCTCTATTCTTTCCTTTCTCTCTCTCTCTTCTTTTTCTTTTCCTTTACTCTCTCTCTCTATTCTTTTTCTTTTCCTTTTCTTCTCTCTCTCTCTTTCCTTCTCTCTCTCTCTATTCTTTTCCTTTACTCTCTCTCTCTATTCTTTTCCTTTCTCTCTCTCTCTTCTCTATTCTTTTCCTTCTCTCTCTCTCTCTATTCTTTTCCTTTACTCTCTCTCTCTTCTCTATTCTTTTCCTTTACTCTCTCTCTCTTCTCTATTCTTTTCCTTTACTCTCTCTCTCTTCTCTATTCTTTTCCTTTACTCTCTCTCTCTCTCTATTCTTTTCCTTTACTCTCTCTCTCTCTCTATTCTTTTCCTTTACTCTCTCTCTCTATTCTTTTCCTTTACTCTCTCTCTCTCTATTCTTTTCCTTTACTCTCTCTCTCTCTATTCTTTTCCTTTACTCTCTCTCTCAATATTCTTTTCCTTTACTCTCTCTCTCTCTTCTCTTTCTTTTCTTTCTCTCTCTTTCCTTTCCTTTCCCTCTCTCTCTTCTCTTTTTCCTTTTACTCCCTCTCTACCCTCTCTTTTCCTTTCCTTTCCCCTCTCTCTCTCTTTCCTTTTCCCCTCTCTCTCTCTCTTTTCCTTTACTCCCTCTCTCTCTTCTCTTTTCCTTTACTCCCTCTCTTCCTTTACTCCCACTCTCTCTTCTCTATACTTTTCCTTTGTTCTCTCTTCTCTTTTCCCTTATTCCCTTTCCTCCTCTTCTTATCCTTTGTCTCTGCATTATTTTCTTTTTTATCTATGCTCTTTGTTTCCCTCTTCCCTTAATTTAATAAAAAAAAATATTTTCTCTTGTTTTTTTTATTTTATTGCCATTTCTCCTTTATCTTTTCTTTGTTTTTCTCTTTCCTCTGTTTCATATTCTTTTTTCTTCACTCCTAATATAAATAATGTCATTTTCTTTGACCTCAGAATAAGTCATTTTATTTTCAAGAGCTTCAGCTTTCTTTTCGTTTCTGGTGTCTCCATTTCCAAAGCCCAGAAGAACATCCTACAAGATAATGTCTGTGTATTGAGACACTACTTATAAGAAAAAGAATCAGAATCAGAACATATCTAAGAGAAAAGTATTTTAGTGGTTTCACTTTTCTGAATAATGTCTCCAGGTATCAGGTAACCCACCAAGTGCTATTCTCATGTCTTTTTCTTATTTGTTTAGTTTCTTTTTATCCTTGTATATATATATATATATATATATATATATATATATACACACATGCACACACACTTTATCATTGTTTTTATATTCCTTTGTGCTTCATTTAACATTTTCTTGTTATATTTCCAAAACATAAGTGATATTTTACAGATTCATGAACAGACTGATATAGGTATAAGAGTTAAAACCAATTAATTGAAATGTCTAATGTTATTGAAACTTTTTTCTTGTTTCTGGCTTTTTGCATTTTGTGTGTTAAGTCATTAGTTATCTCCCACTGAAAACTTAAATTATAGATCTAATAGTACTATTATAATGGTTAAATTATTAAATTTGGTCAATTCTTTTAGTTATCTCCCACTTTGCCAAAAAGATTCTAGCATATATATGCATGACCTCAGTGTTTACATTTTGGAAAAATCTCCCAATTGCAAGGGAATTGTCTCTTAAGTCTCCAGATGATTCTTTCATGTGCTTTTGACTTTCATGATTGCATTCTGTTAACCATCTCTTTTTCCTTTATTGTTCTTCTTCTCATAATGGTAATAATATATTAAACAACATTTCTGATAATATAAAAATGGCTCTCTCTCTACATTCATCTGCTTATATTTTTGAATTTAGTGATTTTTAATGCTTATCATGTCAAATGGCTTAAGCATTCTAATGTTATTGATGTTACCAGTATTCAGACTTTTAATTTTTCCATTGCTCACTTTGTCAAATAGTGGATTTTCCTACTCATTTTCTTAATAAACCTGTTCATCATTCTTCTTTACTTGATTTGTTTTTTACCTCCTCTCCAAGCTCTTGTAGAGCATCTAAACTCTATCCCCTTAGCAATTCAGATCACATTGTATTATCTATTGATATTTCTTTTAAGTCATCTCTTAAAAAGGAACCTCCTATTCACAAGACTTCTTCTGTTACCAGTATACTGATTAAGATTTATTTCATGACATTTGGGACACCCCTTGGATTGATATTCTTAACCTTCTTATTAAGAATTGTTCTACAGGTTTCTTCTTAGGTCAAAGCCATTATTGATTCTTTTGTACCGTCTCACACATATCAGATGAGCCAACAATCTTCTCCTTGGTTTAAACCAGCCTTTAGTAACCCTTATTTCAATTTCAAACATTTTCTTGAATTTCATTGGTTGTTAAATATAAAATAAGCTTTGAGAAATTTCTATAACAAAACAATCAAATTTTGTGCAAAAAGAGACTCAACTAACTCTCTAATCTTTTCAAATTCCCCCCTAATTTAAATGTTTCAAGAAATCCCATTGGGTAAAAATAAAAAATACAATCTCACCCATGCATTTCTGAGAATTATTGGCAACATCTGGCGAACTTCCATTGAGCTGATTTAGCCGTTAAAAAAAACTATAAATAAAAACGATGAACAAGTTTCTGGCACATTGAGATTCTCACATGCAAGGGATATGCACAGAGATTTACTCGCATACAGAGGGATATTTACACATGCAAAGGAGATACAACTCAGAAAGACACTAAGAAAACTTAATTTTTATACTGCATTTTAGAACAAACTTCCTTTATGAAAGATTAGGAAAATTTCAACAAAGAACTTTTTCCATTCAATATCTTAAAAAACTTTTTTCTAATTTGAATTTTATCTTTATGGTAAAAGGCAGACAACTTTTGCTTAAATATACTCTCGCACACATCATTACAAAACAAAAAATTGTAAAATTGTGCATATAAAAATTAATTTGTTGTTACCAAACTTGTCCCTTTCATCGTAATTGAATATTATCACTATTTGACCCTTTTTTATAATTTATGTTTGTGGATATTGCATTTTTTATTTTCAGCACAACTTTAAATATTCATGCAGTCTTTCTAGATCCACAAGCCTGTACAACTTTTATATCCCATAGGAATCATTTTTTCCAATTGTACCAGCTGGACAATTTGACTTATTTGTGACTGCTCGAAATAATTGCAAATGTTTCCTCAAAGAATGAGGCTGTAGTAAGTTTATTCATATGACTACTGGTGGCTCTGTAATAGTGTGTTAAATAAGAGTAAGTCTTCTAATTCTCCTCTCTTCAATCAATTTGAGGTGTTAATATAATCTGCTGGTAAAAGTAAATGGTTTGCTTGTAAATTCTCTTAAAATCCTATTCTTAACTCATCTGGAGTACCTTTGCCTGACTTTCCACTTAGAAGTGAATCTTTGTTGAGTGATATGCATATAACTCTATCCATGATTTCAGCTATCGTTTCTAAACTGGATCTTCACAAAGTATGTATGTGACACTAGCAAAAAGAAAGGGTTAATTTGGAATATGACTTGGAACAGAGAGAGAGAGTTAAAAGCACAAGATGACATATAGATATGTCCACTTGCCTGAAAATGCAAGTTGACAAGACTGTCTCATAAATTCCCAGAAAGAAAGAAGGGGTCAATTGAGTATAATATTTTATAATTTTAGGGAGAAAGGTAAAATCAAGAGACTGGCAATAGCCTGTCTGTCAGCAGCCAGAAATAGCCTTGCCGACCTAAGGCTTTTATCTTGCATTGAAGGAATTCAGATAGGGAATAGACCTGTGAAGCTCATTGGTACTCTTATTGAAAATTAAAAAGATACAATTAATGACTAAAAGTTGAGACTGCCTTTCTGTCCATGTAATTTGAAAGCCAGAGTTGTCAAAGAAACATCTGAGGTGACAGGTTTAGATGATATATCAAGAGAGACAGAGAAATTATCTCCACCCATTTGGAAGTAATGGTTCGAGGCACAGATAAGAAAAGGAATTAGTTTTACAGATGGGTCAATACCTGCAACTACTGAAGAGGGGGATCTCCCACATTTGAAGAAAGAATTAATATTACAAACCAGACAACAAAGAACCTTTATAATCATTACAGAAACCTGGGTAACCACAAATTCCAAAACACCAGATCACACTGTAATATCTATTGATATTTCTTTGAGTCATCTATTAAAAAGTAACCTCCTATTCACAAGACTTTCTGTTACCAGTATACTCATTAGGATTAATTTCATGGCAGTCAAGACACACTTTGGACTGATAATTAGTCCAGTATCGAACAGCATGGGGTTGACCCTGCAATCGATTCGTCATCTTGCAAACATGAGGACCAAAACATCTATGTGCAAAGATCAGAACATCTAGTCACTGCTGACCAGGCTGACCCAGAATCAACCACCTGGTTAAGTGTTATATGGGAACGTGATGGTATCCCTGCAATAGTCCTTGAGAAATATGCTCCTGAACCCTCTCCTGTCCTCTTTAAACTTTACAATAAGTACCTTGACGCTTTTTGCTTCCCTGCTTGTTGGAAATTCTCATCTGTAGTTCCAGTCTTTGAGAACTCGGATGAACCATCTGATCCCGCTATTGGCCTATTAGCCATCTACTCCTTTTTGGCAAAGTACTAGAGGCTGTAATTAACTCTGAATTGGTTAAGCATCTCATATCGCAGGGTCTCCTTTCAGATAAGCAATATGGCTTTTGCTTCTTTAGGTCAACAGCTGATATGTTAACAATTATTACTGAAAGAGACTATTAAGCTTCAGATAAAAATGGTCGAGTTTGGGCTGTTGCTTTGGATATCTTGAAAGCATTGGACAGGGTTTAGCATACTGGACTTCTTTACAAGTTGAAGGATTATGGTATTTCTGGATAGATTTTTGAACTGATTCAGTTTTATCAAATTGTGAAATGCTGTAATGTAGCTTCCTTATGCCTTTTCTATAAATACTTTCATGGTATGAATTTAATCACAGTACTAGATTGGCAACAAGGTCTCATCAATTACAATTGATTTGTCTAAATGTAACTGTAACCTCTATGCTAACAGTTTCCTTTTTTTGCACTTCTCACTTGTGGAACTCTCTTGTAGCTTCCAGTCAATTTTGATCTTCAAAAATTTAAATGCAATGTCAATTGTAAACTTCTATCTTCTTAATATTTGTTTTTTTTTTTATTGTCCTCTCTCCTTAATAGTTGTTTTTCTCATATTCTCTAACACTCAGTAACCCCTTTAGTTTAGTGGATTTCTTGCCTTGTTTGGGGTGAAATGATTAAAAAAAATATAAGAATCTAAGTTTAAAGTACTTTTCCTATGTTCATGTCATTGAGATTCACAAAATTTAAAATAGATGAAATGCTTGATTATGTAGGGATACAAAAAGTGATTATCTCCCTTTGGTCAAGATGAAGTAACATGGGTCACATGTCAGCCACTTGGTGATGTCACTTCATACAGTGATGAAAGTGGCAATCACTCAGCCTCCAGGAGTCAAACCAAGCAGTTGCTTTTTAGCACGGATGAAGCTCTTGCCTCACCTGGATAGAGGCTTAATCTGCCTCCCCCAATCAGCACCCCATGGCACCATTTCTCTTTAGGAATATATCTTCCCCATATATAGAAAGAAACTATCTCCAACTCACAGTCCTCATGTTTTGAAAAACCCAATTTGTGGAATATGTCCCCATTAGGGACATAACAGATAAATTCAGCTCGCTTGAATCTAGAATCCTAAATATGACTTCTCCAGAAATACAGAAGATTGTTATATATTTTCATTCTCTTTTCACACCGTTTGCTA